AAAAGGATATGTACATATGTAGCTTCTATGATAATGCAATCTACTCGATCAACATATAACTATTGAAACCACATCAAGATAGAATATGCAAAACTCTACCGTTGTTAACTCGACTTGTAGAAATCAGATGCTTCTATGATACATGTTCATGCATAATGCATCGATGTGAATGAAAAGAAACTACTAGCTTACGTAAGCAAAGCTCTTTTATAAGAGCTAACCTCAAACTGCCCTAAGATTTTAAGCTTAATATATTGTTTGACTCCTTTCTTTTTCCCTTAGCTACTTAGCTTGATCATCATCTTCCTTTTCCCACTTTTTTTGTGAGAAACTTTTAAAGGGTATTTTAATTTACCGTAGTAATACGTATAATTTTAATTTCGATGAAACGAAAAAGTGTACCTAAAACTAAGTGGATAAACAGATTAATTTTTTGATTTTTTGAGCGTTTTTAGAGAATACACAATACTAGATTAAAATTTTGAAACCTTTATTTTTATACAACCCGTATAGAACTTGAAACGATAATGATTGAAACCAGATTACGAAAAGTTAATTTTTAATTTTAATTTTTTTTAATATACATACATTTAACAAATATAAGATATATATATATATATATATATATATATATATATATATATATATATATATATATATATATATATATATATATTGGTTTAGAAAAAATAAAAATTTGTACTTTGGAAGTCATAAAGTCTATAATCATTCAACATTTCGTCGTTATTGCTCAATGTGCTTCTTAATTACATCTCTTATAAATTGTACCCTCATCTTCTGCTCTATCTTTCATCTTCTTTTTCTTCTTTGGTTTTTTTTAATCAAAAAATTTTATTTTTGTATAATAATGGGTAGCACTGATAGCACCAACACTTCTAAAAGCGTATTTGCACCATCGATTTGGAGATTTGATGAGTCGAAATCACAAGAACAGAATGCTGCAATTTTTCGAGTTTATGTTACCGCTATGACGAAAAAGATGAACAATCACTTAGAATTTCTGCAACAAGGAATTTCAAGGGTGGAAAAAAATAAAAAAGAAAAAGGAGAATCTACCAAGAAAAATAAAAGATAGGCTGTGAGGGATGGCTGTGGTGAATGTCCTGTTATTATTGTTGAATCTGACAGTGATGAAGTTCAAAGCAAACCCAATGAGGGAAGTAAAGCAGAAAAGAAAAAAGGAGGATACTAAACAAGAAAATGAGGATCATCAAAAATGGTGCAAAAGAAAAAAATTAACCAAGAGAAAAAAGGGACAATATTAAAGAAAAATCTATTAGAGGTGCTTCAGAATAGTAGAGTGTAATTATCTAAATAATGAAAATATGTCTTATTTTGAAATGTTAATGTTATTTTCTATTACATTGAAAAATATCTAACTAGCGTAGGTTTCAAAAAAAATGTTAATGTCATTTTCTATTACATAATAGAAACAGATTAGCCGAGCCGAATTAGCACATATTTTGTACTTTGGAATCTTCAATTTTGGTCATGCTAAATAATCATTACTGTTACAAATCTTTTAAGAAGAATTAATCTTTTTCTGATCAATTTGAAAATAGTTATAATAAGTGGAGTGCATGTTGTTTTTGGTAAAGTGAGAGATCATGGTAACAAGTTAATGAATTTTGGTAAAGGTTAATGAATTTTGACTTTGATTATATATGCTGAATTTGGTTAGAGAAGCTGCAAAAGTTATATACGGAGTATCACTTAGCTTGATCATGTTAAATTAATCAATTGACATGCACATACAAGTATATCCATAAGGGTAAGGTCGTGCGTCGTAAAGATGGGTTAAACTAAGTTGACTCGTGAGAGAATTAATCAAGTTATGATCTTTCTCTTAATCTAAGTAGACACAATAAAAAAAAGTAATTAGGATTGATTCAATTCTCACGAAAATGAAGAAATTGTTTGTCAATTACAAGTCACAAGATGAATAAAAGTCGTAGTTTCATATTTGGTTTAATCCCCTAAATCGATGATGACGAGCTTAGATAAAGGAATTCAATCCATTCAACTTTGTAAATAAAATTAGTAACCTAACATACAACGATGAATTGAAGTATCTACAACCATTAAAATTGGAGCCTCATATCTCATACTCGGACCAATTGATAAATTACTATACCTATGGTAATCATAAGAGAAAAAATTGCATCCAAATGATTAATTTAAAATGTTCGAAAATATTTAGAAACATTGGCATTGATTATATATGAGAAATACAACAAGTCAATTTTTATATTTATTTTTTAGCTCATCACAACATAATATGCCTTAACAGTTTACGAGGCCTTCATTTTTCAATAAACGATTTTCATACCAATTGGTTGTGCTTTAATAATTGTTTTTGGTCAACCACACACAAAGGAAGACAAGCTAAAATACTGCTCCATAATAGTAAAACTATTATTTAGACAACATTTTATTTGACAAATACTACTATACGTTCTCACCTTTTGCACCTATTCACAATTCTTCTTTCCAAATTTAGCATGGCATTGCTCAAGTATTTCTATTACGTACTACTACTATATTTGGTGATTATTTATCTAAATTTGATATTTTAATTTAAGATTTATACGAATAATATATGATAGATTTATGGTATACATAAATAGACTCCGTAGCAATTAAATTTGAGTAAAAAAAATTAAATAAAGAATGTAAAAATTAGCAAATGAAGAAAATTTTGATTAAATTATGTACTAATATTACACTAGACATGTGAGTTGTGACTCGTGAGAGATTTGATCAAGTACTAGCTATGCTCATGATAACTAAAAATAATCAATAAAAATAAATTACTCCGTATTGAACAGAAAAAATGGAGGTGCTCATATACTATCTTAGAAAAAAAAGGGGGGGATGGGGGGTAAATCGCTCATATACTAAACTCTTCATATCTTATATATTAATGAAAGATACTATTATCTTTTGTTTTTTGGTGCAAGCCCCAACAAGAAGAAATAAAAAACGTAAGACAAGAAGACAAGAACAACTTTTTTTTTTTTTTTTTTACAATAACTGATTTATTCGATTGAATGGTTCCCTTAGTTTGATTTATTAGAACCCTTTGCACTCTTTAATTGGAGAACAACTCTATTCACTTTTACTTGGAGTGATTAAATGGTTCCTTAATTTGATTAAATGGTGGTTTCCTTCCTTTGCTAACTTTAAATTTGTAAATAGTTGTAAATGTGAATCTTAGGGTTTCATATGCATCCTAAGATAAAATATACACGGTACTGATGGTACCCTAGATTATTCTAGTGGTACCCTATAGTTCCAGTGGTACCCTACGTGGTTCCAATGGTCTAAGGCTTGTGAGTAGTACCATTCATGGTATTAGATGTGCCCTTTGCATTATCAAGGGTACCCTTCACTGCGTTAGTGTAACTATATCTTTTAGTCTTTTTAGTGGCATTTTATACTTTGTAATGGTACGTACAACTATTTAGTGGTACCCTTGAATTTGAAAGTGGTTTATTAGAACCTTTTACACTCTCTAATTGGATGACTAGCTCTTCACATTTACATGGAGTGTGTTGAATACATGTTTCCTTACTTTTGATTAAGTAGTACCCTCGCTAAAATGAAATTGGTTAATAAGGTAACTAGTGAAAATTGGTACGTACTTATTTAATGTCAAACATATGGCTGTTACATACTTTATTATTCGATTAAATGGTTCCCTTAGTTTAATTTAGTAGAACCCTTTACACTCTCTAATTGGAGAACCAATCTATTCACGTTTACTTGGAGTGATGAAATTGTTCCTTAATTATATTAAATGGTGTTTCCTTCCTTTACTATCTTTAAATTTGTAAATAGTTGTAAATGTGAATATTAGGGTTTCATATGTATCCTAAGATAAAATATACATGGTACTAATGGTGCCCTAGATTATTCTAGTGGTACCCTACTTAGTTCCAGTGGTATCCTACGTGGTTCCAATGGTCTAAAGCTTGTGAGTAGTACCATTCATAGTATTAGCTGTGCCCTTTGCATTTTCATGGGTACCCTTCACTGCGTTAGTGTAACTATATATTTCAGTCTTTTTAGTGGCACTTTTATACTATTTAATGGTACGTATAACTATTTAGCGGTACCCTTGAATTTGAAAGCGGTTTATTAGAACCTTTTACACTCTCTAATTTGAGGTCCATGCTCTTCACATTTACATGGAGTGTGTTGATTACATGGTTCCTTACTTTTGATTAAATAGTCCCCTCGCTAAAATGAATAAGGTAACTAGTGAAAATTGGTACATACATATTTAATGTCAAATAGATGGTTGTTACATAATTTATTATTTGATTAAATGGTTCCCTTAGTTTAATCTATTAGAGCCCTTTACACTCTCTAATTGGAGGACTACTCTATTCACGTTTACATGGAGTGATGAAATGGTTCCTTAATTTGATTAAATGGTGGTTTCCTTCCTTTACTAACTTTATCTTGTAAATAGTTGAAAATGTGAATCTTAGGATTTCATATGTATCCTAAGATAAGATATACATAGTACTGATGGTACCCTAGATTATTCTAGTGGTACCCTACGTGGTTCCAATGGTCTAACCTTATCAGTATTACCATTCATATTATAAGCCATGCCCTATAACTAACCAATGGTACACTTCACTGCTTCAGTGTAAATATATCGACCAGTCGTTTTAGTGGTACCCTAGTTGACAACCCTTTTACTTGTTAGTGGTAACCTTGAATTTTAATGGCGTTAGTCCCCTTTATGTTCTTAGTGGTGGTACCCTTTAATTTTACTTGTCAGTGGTAACCATGAATTTTAATTTTGAAATATGTAAACCAGTTGTTTCATTTATTTTGTTAAAACCCTTTATGTTCTGAGTGGTGGTACCCTTTAATTTTAAAGTGGTTCCCCTAATTTATTTATGCGAACTTTGTTAGTGGCACTCTTTAATTGGAGGATTGATTAAATGGTTCCGTTTGCCAAACTTAAATTGTTAGTTGTAAATGTTAACACTTGTAATGTCAAATGACGGGCCTTACCCTCACATATGTAATGTCAAAAGATTGCCCTTACAATTTGGGCTTACAAAAAATGGGCCCTTTTTTTTAACAATTTGTATGACAGAAAATGGGGTTGTTAGGAATTCGGCCTTACAAAACATGGCCACGCAAAATTAGTCACCTTAGCATATTAGTCTATCTCTATGATGCATGAGAGGGTGGAGTCACCGGCGGCCGAGGTAGAGGTAGTATAGGAACGTAGCCACCTTGTCTGGATGATGTGGCTGATAACGGAGATACATGGCTCTGCCATCCATAAGGTCCTGAAGGGTAATGAGCCATGGGAAATTGAGGATACGGAACATAGTATCCCAGACTAGGAGATATTTGGGAAACTTGAAAGTTTTGACCACCACCACCAACAGCTGTAAAGTACCCTATAGATCTGTCCCCGTCCTGCAATTGAATGCCACCAACACATTGAGGACTGTAAGGAACCATCTTATTCATCATTTGCATATATGGTACCTGCATGTGTAACAGCATATATTATAACCTAAACCAAAACATCTTTTAAGTACTTGATGGCCTAAAACAAAATTTCCAAAATAGAGTGTTTAAAAGGCACTTGGGGTAACTTAAAAGATAAATTGATTAGGGCCTTTGGAGTTTGGACATATATCTGCACATATACACATATATATGCACATATACAGTCTACCAAAATACCAACATAGACACACCAATATGATGCAAGTATAATATAACAATTAAGGCTTCTCAAATTCAGAATATGCCTCATTAGTAATAAGGATTGAAGAATTGAAGGAATATTTACCCCATTTGAGGACGGTTCAGTTGTTTGGGCTTCTAAAACAGTCATGTTCTTGCCTTGTGTGTTCTTGTGTTTTGTGTTCTTGCCTTGTGTGTTCTTCGTTGTCTTTGCCTTCTTTGGTTTCTCGAGACATGACATGTACCTCGAATCAGTGGTGCGATGAGCTGGCCTCTTTGGTAAGGGTGGGTCTTTCACATGAACATCTTGTTCTTCAACAGATACCCTATTTTCGTCATTGCCATCACCATGACCCTCACAGCTACCCTGTCTTTGAGTCGATGGGGTTGAGTCCTTTTCTTTCTCTAAACAAACTGATGATGGTGTTCCTACACCTTGACCACTCTTTTTCGCAAGCATTGCTAACTTCTCCTCCACTTGCAATTCAACTAACTGCAGTGCTTGCATCACCACTGCAGTAGTTTGAATGGAACCCGAAGCTTTCGAACACAATGTACTAAACCTGACCATCATTTTGTCATACCTACAAACTTCCTCGGTTTTGCTTGGGTCATGATAGCACACTTTCACCCTTGTGTGCTTCTGTATCACATCTTTCCTCCACCACCGGAAAATATAATAGTCTGGTATCTCATAGTAATTATTAATATCATAAACCCTAATGATGTGACGAAAAATAATCCCATGACACTAAAAGTTGCGACAGTCACAAGTTACGTGCTTGGTTGAAGAGTCAAATGAAAGCTTGTACTCTCTCTTTCTCTTGGACGACTTTTTTTTACGCGATCCTTTGGGCTTGTACCATACTCTATCCTCCACAACGAACTCAGTTATTGTGTCAGAAACCTGCTTCCAATGGATCTCACTTACATAAATTACACGGTTGCACTCTCGTTGCACCTCCTTAAATTTTGCATCCGTATAAATCTTCTGAAATACCAACTTAGCCGGGAAATTAGTGTAAGCTTGCCTCACATACCTATCATTATTTTCATCTTCCCTTTTCTCACCTATGCACCTAACTTCCAAGGAATTACAATACCTCTCCACAAACTCATGCAACAAAGTATGCATGCTCAAATACCCATAAAAAAACCTGTGAATACTCTCAACCCGTTGAGTTGTTTTCATCCCGGCCAAAAATAAATGTTTCACAAAAGTAGGCACCCACATATTGCGTTCTTCATACAACCCTAAACAAATTTAAATCAAGAGCCACTGAATTGGGTTTATAGTTCACAACGCTTAATTTTCACAGAGCTTAATTTTTACAGAGCTTATGCACCAACAGTTACATGATCCAGAAAGAGTTCAAAAAAAGCCTAAAAAAAAAATTATGATTCCTAGATTATGAAAAGTCATAAAGAATAACAATATCCACTAAGCATCAAAGTCACAGACTAAGTTCAGATAGCACTGAATAGGATTTACACTTGTTCACAGTCCTTATGAAATTTTCACAGAGCGCCAACATTTTCACTGATCTAGATTTGCTAACACATCATAACATTATAACAGCAACACACAATGTAACACACACACACAAATACGGTGTAACAGCAACACAAAACAACTGTGATTCTATTTTTATAATGAGTAAAGAAGATACCTTGAAGCCATTCATCATCTTCTAGTTCATGCTTCTTGATTTCCTCAAGCCAATTAGCCTCAAACTTTTCACAATCAAGACTGTCATAAATTGCACTCTCAAGATTAGTTTTAATTTCAGTGTAATTTTTAAGCTTCCCAAGCTTCTTGGAAAATTTTTGGGTAATGTGCCAAATACACCATCGATGAACGGTTCCTTGCATAGTCACTTTCAATGCTTTCCTCATTGCCGGATCTTGATCCGTAAGGATCCCAATAGGCTGTTTTTCACCCATACACCTCAACAATTAGAGAAGACCCTTTCAAACGTTTTTGCGGTCTCTCGAGACACTAGTGCACATTCGAAAAAGACGGTTTCACCATGATGGTTAACCCCCACAAAATTACGAAATGGGAGCTTATACTCATTTGTCAAGTAAGTTGAATCAAAACATACAACATCTCCAAACTCCTCGTACGCAACCTGACTCCTAGCATCGACCCACAATACATCTTGGAGCCTACCCAAATCATCCACTTGATGGGTATGGGAAAAAAGTGGGTTATCATCCACCATCGTTTTGAAGTAAGCAAACATTGCCTTTGCATCACCTTCCTCAAATATGATTTTCCTTTGCTTTGCAACCTCATCATGCAAATCCTTTTGAGTAAATTGCATCGATCTCCTCTCGGCCATTCCTTTGACGGGCCATAAAATTGAATATCTTTGCATCTGGAACACCCGCCTTGCGGTCATTGAATACTTGTTTAAAATTGTGCAGGTTGTCCGTCAAGAACTTCTTCCTAGACTGAGTGATGTTCTTGGACTTCCCCGGTGTTGGTGAGTGACCTTTATGTTCTAGAATGGCTTTATCAATTACCCAATCACCACCTTCATTCAACTTTGCATATAATTTCACCGGGCATTGCACCTTTTTGCTCTTTCTTTTAACACAAACTTCGTCATATATTTGTGAATCCGAAACAAATGTCGGGGCATTAGTTTTCTTGCCCCTCCTACTAGGCATACCGTAACATTCACATGTCCATGTCACACTCCGCTTGTCCTTAGCATTAAAACCCTTCCCTATTGTCGCTCCACTTGAACGGACTACACCGAAACCTTCTTGTTTTCCGTAGTCCCTAAAATATGAGTCTATTTTTTTCCTACTATCAAAGATCATTCCTGGTTCAGGTGGAGGAAGGGAAACCTCTACATTTGCAAACTCTTCGATCTCAAAGCATATAGCCACACGACTCTTTCCTTTGGTTGGAGTCTGGTATGACTCTTCACCAACAATCACCTTTCCAACATTATTCAAAGCATATCAAAATTCAAACAAACAGTAACTAATCTCAGGGCACATTTGATCTCATATTCTCATTATTTACAAAAAACAACAACCAGAACAACAGAGACACTGAATCTAAGCTAAACAATAAACAAAAAGAAGCACCATTTGATCTCATATTCTCATTATTTCAACAAAAACACATTTAAACTAAACAAGCACAATTCATCAATTTAATCAATTTAATATCAAATGTAACTATTTTAAGATTAATTAATCAAAACCCTAATTAAAATAAACAACGATTTCTACTGAATTCAAAAGGCTAGTTGCGACATTACCTCCTTCAACAAAGCTTTAAGAGCTAAGGAACATCCGTCTTTGTAATCTTCTGCTTCTTCAATGGCGGTAGCGTTCAATGGGTCTTCAATGGCGGTTTCGTTCAGTGTTTCTTCAATGGCGGTTGCGTTCAATGGGTCTTTAATGGCGACTGTGTCACCATCCAAGACAACCCCGATAGCACGATCGCCACCTTCAGATAAGCCAAAACCGTCTTTAAAGAGCGGTTCCTCCATCACCAACATCTTCCTCGCCATTTATGCCTCGAGGTTTTCACCCACACCAGATGATTTTTACATGAAAATGGCGAGGGTGAGGTTTAAGAGAAACAGGAGTAAAAAGTGAAAGGAGTAAAAAGTAAAAGAGATAAAAAGTACAAAGGGCAAAGTTGTCTTGTACACTTGTATTATATGGTTATACAGTACCTTGTATTTCCCTTTTTATTTGATAAAGTGGTTTAGTAATACCTGACTTGTGGGACCCAACCGTTTCATTTTACACCCAGATCCGTTCGTTATAAATGGCTATATGCATACCGAAACTTCGTTACTACTTCCTCCTATCGCTTTCAGGTAATAGCCAGATTGTGTGGAACTGCTTTGCCGTACCTGAAATGAAGCATTTAATGCAGGGAGAAAAGGGTGGTCCAACATGTCAAGAATTTCCCTTTCTGCAATAGCTCTGTGTACCTACAACAAAATTGGCAGACAAAGTGAGCACAAGAAAAATATCAAGACACGATCATCAGAGTTCAGAGTCAAAAGGTCGAGTTCCTTTAAGGCTTAAGGAGTGTAGCAAGCACTTCAAAATTTTGACATTAACATATATAAATAACTTATAAGTGACATCAGTAGTGCAGCATCCTATAGTAAAAGGTCTATCATGGCCTTGTATAATTTGCAGCAGATTGGAGATTGGACTTGAAAGACTAAATAACCCAAATAACAGAACATATAGTATATAGTACAATAATTTTGATACCTTATTATGATTGAGCATTGCATTTTTATCCATTTCCTTCATGGGGAAATATTCACCCGTTCCACATAATTCCACCAGATGCACAATGCAGACGATTAGGGAAGTTAAGAGACAGTCACTAAAGCACTACAGATTATAGTTGAATATAACAAAGGAAGTGAAAACACAAAGAACAAGCTTTATTTCTACCACAACACTTGCACCAAAATAAAACACATCCAACAAGAATTACAATAGTTCATACCCGAAATCGTACCATCAATAATTCAAACATAACCCCCACCTCCAAAAAATCCCAAATATCGAATTTCAGAAATCCTATCATCTAATCTCAAGAAAATCATATCAAATAACACAACCAAAAGACAATTAAAGTGATTTGAAAAAAACCCAACAAGCTAAATTCTTTAAATTTTAAAAAAACAAGCGTAGAACTACAAAAATTACATAAAAACCCAGAAAAAAAAAAAAAAAACAGAAAATAGCAATTGGTTACAGGAATGAATTAAGAGTATTTAACATGTTAAATGACATCCTTATATCCATGGAAATGCAGTATCATCCGTGTCTTCATACATAAATTCCCAAAACTACCCAATATCACCCCAAATGCAAAAAATGAATCAAATACAAATGGCATGTAGAAAAAAATAAAGCAAATTAGAATTCACCAAGAGTTCCGTCACCGCCGGTTACACCTCCGCCCAAAAACGATGCAACTTGGGAGCTCTTGTATGAAGCCGCCGGTCAAGTTGCTCGTCCCAAGATGAACGCATTCGCTGCTCAAGTTAACCACTAAAAGAACAAATATCTTCTCGTTGCTCCTTGAAATGAGAGGGCTTGAGTTTGAAATGAGAAAAAGAGGTGAATGACGGGGAGGAGATGGGAGGAGAAGAGAAAGAAGAAAGAGTGAGGGACTGATGAGAGAGAATGAGGTGAAACCATAAAAAGCCAAGTATTGGGCTCCTCTCATTAGTTGGGCCAAGTTTGCGCATTTACGTGTAATATAGTATTCGTAACGGGCAAAATATTTTCCGTTACGAATACTTATTTATTTGTAACGGGCACTAATTTTTCCGTTACGAATACTTATTTATTCGTAATTGGCACTAATTTCTTCGTTACAAATACATATGTATTCGTAACAGACATTATTTTGCCCGTTACGAATATCTTAATTTTAACGGGCAAACCTTTGCCCGTTACAAATAGCCTATTACGAATAAGATTTTTCCACTAGTTTACCCTCCACAAAAATTACGAAAATTTTTGTTTTTCTGCATTTCGAACTATGTAAATATCGAGTTTCATGAGTCAACAATACGCACACGCGAGTCACACGAAGTCAGTCATCATTAAGTTAAGTTTATACCTTGAGTCATGTCAAGTCAATGAGTCAAGAAACACTAAGTCTAAGGTTAACCCTACTGAAAGATAAGCAAAGTCCTATAGTCCAAATTATAAATGCAGGTACATTCTAGTGAGCAAGAACATTCCCGGATTTTTTTTCAAAGAGTCGCAAATGAAAACCTGACCCAAGCATCAGACGACAAGGCTGTCGCTTGGCGACAGAGAAAGAACGTGGCGAAAATATGATCTGGCGAGTACCGATGTAGCGACAAGATGCGTCGTCCCATATTGGATTATGCGGACCTCATACAACAATTTTGGGCTCCTTAGTACGCCAGTTAGCCCTTATATGCAAATTGACATGATTAGTAGTCGGCTCGATTACAATTACAGTAAGTGATTAACCTGACGACGATTGTCTCACTTAGCTTAAGCGCCTAAGCATTGGCTCATTACAAGCACCAAGGCATCGGTTCAAAAGCTTATCACTAATACGACAATTTTTCCATGATTAGATTGTCATCCCCAACTAAAAATATTTCCAAAAGTGGATTGTCACGCATTCTTCTTAAACGACAATTTTTCCAAGATTTGATTGTCATCTCTGGCAAAGTTTCCAAGCGTGGATTGTCGTGCTCCTGTTCTGTTTGGAAAATTTTTCCAAAGTTTGGATTGTCATCGTTGGCAAGTTTTTCCGAGATTGGATTGTCATACACCCTATTCCCTACGGCAAAATTTCCCAAAGGATTGTCTTAGGACTCTACTCATCATAAATTTCGGCAAAGGTTCTTCAACGTTTCATTCATTTCAGTAAGTGGAAAATTTTCCCGAAGTGGATTGTCGGTCGACTCTTTTTTGCAAATGTTCCAAGACATGGATTGTCAATAGTGGCAATATTTTCCTAAAAGGATTATCGCGTAGCGTTGGAAAATTTCCAAGGTGGATTACTTTCAAGAGTTATATTCCAAGATGTGGATTGTCGATTGTAGCAAGGTTCTTATAACAGATTGTTACGAAGCATTGGCAACTTTTCCCAAAAATTGGATTTTGGCAAATTTTCCAAGATACGGATTGTCGCTTCATCATAGCAACATTTCCAAGGATGGATTGTTACGTGGCATTGACAACTTTCCCTAAATCAGTATGTCATACATCATACAAGAGTCGTGTTGACAATTGTTCCTGAAGAAAAGAGGATTGCCATCACCCAATAACATCGACTACAAAAGTCAAGCAGTTTTAAAGATCAAGAAGAAGTGGTCGTTCGGTAATTTTCTTTGGAATATTATCGCAAAAACTGAGGATGGCTTCAAGCGAAGCAATCCTCGATCATATTCCCTTGCTTGCGGAAGATGGTCACAGGGCAGTAGAAGATCGTTTCAGGCGAATCAATCTTCGATAGTATTCTCTGGCTTGCAGAAGACTATCACAGCGGAAATTTGATTGCGGATTAGATAGGTCGTTAAGCTACTTTCCTAACCAAATTAATCATTTATAATACCTAAACCTACACTAAACTATTTAGTTGCAAGTAAAGGGTCGAACCACTAGGGAAGCACACTAATTCAACATCAAATATCACTAATGCAAAAGTGAAAAGGGGATTGTTTTTGTTGGTTTTGTTGAGTAAGAACACTAAAACTACAAATAAGCAAGAAAATGATGATTAAAATCAATAGAAAATGACGCTAGGGATACAGGGGGTGTCCAATAGGATTAGAAAGAGGAGAATAATGGTGATTATCATGAAACATATGCCAAAGAACACAAGATTATACCTAAACAATTCATTCTCATGCAATAGTCTAGGCAAATTAATGAAAGAGGTCTACACTAATAAGGATTATTCTCATGCATCCTATTAGTTACAATCAAATCAAGAGAGTAAAGAAGCACAATCCATAAAAACTCCACTTTAATAACTCATTCTCATGCAATCAATAAAATAGAGGTGATCCTAATCTAGTTCAAATCACTTTCATGCATTTAAACTAGAAAACATCAAATAGAGTGCAACAATAGTCTCAAGCTAATAAAACTCATGCCTTTCATCAATATATGTCATAAGTTCAATCCAACCATCATCATTCATTCAATATCAACTCATATCTTCCACCCCCTTCCCCTAGCCAAAATTTTAGCCTAGAGAAGGGAGATTAAACACAATATCAAAACTAGAAATAAATTCAAGAAACTCAAAACAAAACATGATTAAAATCAATGAAATCAATAACAACTAGATGAACTAATAAGATTAACAAGAGTAAGCAACAATAAAACAAGTAAATGAAACTAAAGGAAAGGAGAAGAGGTTACTAAAGAAAGGAATAATGAAAGATGAAAACTTAAATTCTTGCTTGATTGAAACTTAAACTTGAGCAAAGTTAAATCTTGGAAGAAAATTGAGCAATAATCTATTTTCTCTCCCTAAAAATTATCTAACCTAACCCTAAGAGAGAGAAGCTCTCCTCAACTAATTAAAAAAAATAAAATAAAAGAGCCTCCTTTTAATTCCCCCAAAAATGGGTATTTTTACTTAGCTAAACAAAAGAAAAAGAAAAGAGAACCAAAAGAAAAGAAAATAAAAAAAATATATAAAAAGAAATAAAATAAATAAAGAAAATAAAACCCATTCCCCCCCCCCCCAAACCGTCAGCCTCCTCATCTTCTTCTATTTCAATTTGGCTGCTCTTGAATCATCATCACCACCGTTTGATCGTCTTCATCAATTATCATTAACCATTTTCATCTTCAATCATCACCGCTCATCATCATCATCAATCATTAATCTTGAAATCAAACCGTTCGATATTAATGAGCACCTCCATTCACAAGCAAATCACGTGAGAATTGACAAAGATAAGACCCACAACGGAGCGGCCGATTCGAACCTTAGAGCGCCCGCTCTGAAGGGTATCGAAATATGGGGCTGATTTGGAGCTTGCAGCTAGGCAGCGGTGGCTCTGATTGGAGGCGTTGCTGTTGCGATTTTGCTGCGGATTTGCGAGTGGAAACAGGGGAAGGTGGCAAAGGTTGGTGTTGTTGGTTGGCTAAGAGCTGCGTGAGGTAGCAGGGGCTGCTGGTGGTTTAATTGGTGAATGGTTTGGTGGTGATTAATGGTTGTTTTGCGTGAGGGAGCAGGGGAGAATTGATGGTGATAGCTAGCGGATTGGTGGTTGCGGCGGCTGTGGAGGCTGAGTGTGGTGGTGGTTGTGGGGTTGCGTGAGTCTGGATGTTGGAATGCGCTTGATGGTGATTTTGGTGGCTGGTGGAAGGTGCGGTTTATGGGAGCAGGGGAGCTACGCTGGTGGTTGTTTGGTGTGTGGAAGTGGCTATTGACTTTTGACATGAATTCGGAAATCGAACTCAGTTGACATAAAACCCGAACACCTACACACAAAACTGAAGAAAGTGATTGAGAAAAACAAAATAGAACTAAGTAACCCGAACACACCT